TTCTGCTGGATGGTTAAGACCAAGGTAAAGCAGGACCTATGCAACAAGAGTTGTAGCTTTTGGGTCTGATAAGGTCAGTGAAATCCCCTCAGGAGAAATCTTGAAGGCATAAGGATAGTTAGAGAGTTCATGAACAAAAACAAACTACACAGGAAATACTTCATGGAATCAAGAACTGAGATCTCATCTTATTGAGAACTTTTTGCATGCCAAAGGAAATCACCAACAGAGCAAAAAGAAAACCCACAAATTGGGAAAATACCTTAGCCAACTATCTGTCAGACAAAGGACTTCTATCTAAAACATGCAAAGAGTTAAAAAATATCAGGCCCCCAAAATCCAAATACCCAATCAAAAAATGGGTATCTCAGACAAATACACACTTCTCAGATGAGGAAATACAAATAGAAAATAAATATATGAAAATGCTCGACATCATTGGTCATTTGAAAAATGCAAATTAAAACAACAGTGAGATTCCATCTCACCCCAAAAAGAATGGCTATCATCAAGAAGTCAGCCAAAGACAAATGCTGTAGAGTCGGTTGGGGACAAGGAACACTTCTCCACTGTTGGCGGGAGTGCAGACTAGTAGAGCCACCATAGAAATCAGTGTGGCGTTTCATTGAAAACTAGAATTAGAGGTCCCATTCAACCCAGCTCTTCCCCTCCTAGGTACTTTTCCAGAAGAACTGAAAACATACCACAGTGATATATGTGCACCTGTGTTTATAGCATCACAAATTGTTGTAGCTAAATCTTGGAAACAACCGAAATGTCCGCCAACTGAGGAATGAAGAAAAAATGTTGTGGTATTTGTATACAATGGAGTACTACTCAGCTATAAAGAAAGATAAACTTGAGGCTTTTATAGGTAAATGGATGCAGCTGGAGACTATACTCATAAGTGAAATAAATCAGATCCACACGTGTGAACACCGTACTGCTTTCCTAGGGTAAAAACCTGAAAGTGTAAATAAAATCAGAAAGATGCAATAGATACTGTGAAAGGAAAAGAAACTGTTCAGTTGGAAGGAATAACTGGAATTAGGGAAAGGAGAAAAGAAAGAAAGAAGGAAAGGGGGGAAAATATGTATGTATGCCATGGAGGTAGATCAACAGTCTAAGTGCCTACCTAGGCAAGAACAAGGACCCAAACTCAATCCCTGGTATGGATGCTGTGTTGCCCCACTCCACACACATCCAGACAGTGAGATCCTATACCAAATACATAAAAATTTTTTAAAAGATATATATAGATATAGATATAGATATAGATATAGATATAGATATAGATACACACACACATACACACAGTATAGCTTGGATAATTGTACTGCTGATTTTTGCTGGTGTATTGAAAGGAACAGTTAAGACTTAAATCTTTTTTCTTCTTTTTATTCATTTAGACCAATTTTTTAACCAATTTTGCATGCTTATATCTGGTAATCTGCACAACTAATGTGAAGACAACAATACGCAATATAACAACCATTGTTGAATTTCTATCACTTTGTCTAGTGAAATTCTGTATTGTTTCTAATGGTCTTTGTTTACTACTTCTTATTCTCTTGAAAAAATGAAAACAAACATCCAAAAAAATTAACAGTGTTTATTTTACTACATTAACACATTTTTTATGATGATACAAAACTATTGGGCCCAACGGATTAAAAATTAAGTAATTTGTATACTATTAAGCAGGCCCAGGTAACTTTTATTGGATGAAATTGAATATGATCATGTTTCAAAACTTTTTTAAATTTTGCCCTCTAACCTTTCAGAAAATCTAACTAGTGTGTTTAACTTTTCAGTTTATCTCTATTAGAAGAATTTGACTGTAGCTGTAATGAGCTGGAGTCTCTGCCTGCCACTGTTGGCTACCTTCACAGCCTGCGCACCTTAGCAGTTGATGAGAATTTCCTTCCAGAACTGCCCAGAGAAGTGAGGAGTGAACTTGTCTTTGCTCAATTCAGTCTCAAGGAAACTGTTCTGAAATGAAATCTTAGCAGATGTTGTCTCTCTATCTATATCTACACATGTGGAGGGGTGTTGGGGGTGCTGCACATGGGTGGGTTAATTATTCTATTTTAAAAGATGTGAGAAATTCTAATATTAAATCTTGAAAATTGCACACAAAGAATAACAAAATATTAAAAGTTAATCATTGTTAAGGAACAACATCTTACATTGTTGAATGTCCATGTCTTACTTTTTAACACAATTATAAATAATATTTTGAGATGATTACATTCCCATTTCTGAAGTAAAAAGGAGTTTTTGCTGCAAACATGTTCGTAAGATATCATGTTACACTACAGCAATACTATTTTAACTTCTACATCCACCCAGAGATTCTGTTAATTTTTATCTCTAAATTGGATTTCACTTACTGTTGTTAAGAATAAAAAGCATAAAATATATTTTCAATTTAATACTTTCTGCTAACCACTTCTATAATGATGGAATAATAATCAATATATCATTATTTTAGAGCCAAAAGTTATGAATAAAAGTGACAAATACCATTGTGACATGAAGGCAAACAAACTGCACTAAAGAACTGTCAACACATCATTTTATGAATGTGTGTACTCAAATATTATAAACAGATAAATACTCATAGAAAAACTATGATTCATGAAAATAATTGTGTCAACAAGCATTTTAATAATAAAATTCATAAGCAAATGCTTCCTTCTTAATATATAAAGGAAAATTACTTACTGTCTAAAAGTTTACACAGGGCTGGCGAAATGGCTCAGTGGTCTAAAGCACCTACTTAGAACAAGCTTAGCAAAGCACAGGGGCCAGGGTTCAATCCCCCAGCACCACATGC